GTAAATGGCATCATAACGAAGACAAACTATATGTTTATACGGGAAGTTCTGGAGGGGACGTCTGATGGCGTCATGTGGGGACGTAATGACGTGTGCAATTAATCAATCTATGTACTATAACATGTAAAACGGGAACATGAAAAGAATATTCTAAAAGCAACTCATGTAAACACCTTAATCATACTATAGTCTTATTTAGAATAAGGTATAAACAATTAGATTACTGATGTCCATGTAAACGTAGTCCTTGTTTTATGTGTCATTTAGGGCTCAGTAAATCTGAAAATGATGACAGTACAATAACAGATGGAAGTGAAAAACACTCGATATCACAGCAGTCCAGGATATATAGAAACATGTCACAAACATTGTCAAATCCAGTGATTAGAAGCCAACAAATGTCCTCAGACTGGTGAGCTCCATGATGTTCCCTCAGCTGTTCTGAAGTCCCAGCTGTGTGCTCGTTCTCGTGGTGTTAAACATCTGTGGATTTGTGTGCTGAAGTGACATTGAGTTCACACAAACAAACAAACAACTACAGTGCAGCAGATTTTGCAGAGCTGCAGGAAAAGTGTGGCAAAAAAGAGTTTTAACATGGTTTTAACATTTTTGTGCATAATTTACATACTTCAATTTGTGTTATTTTATAGGTTTGATGAGGTTATAGTTTCATAAATAAAAAAGGAAAAACGTTTGAAAGCTATTGTACAAGCGGACCCTTTATTTGTGTTCTTAAGAATCAACACTCATAAATATTTTGCACGCTTATTAGCATGTGAGCTGAAGATGCTAAGCAATATTCAGCATGTCTAACTGATCCCAGAGCAACTACAAACATCAGCATATCTTTGTTTTCTGTTTAGCATTCACATTTACTGAGTGCAGCTCCTCAGAGAAATCAGATCCTAAAAACACATCCGTCAGAGTCCAACGCAAGTTCAGATGCGTTCAGAGAATCAACCATCAGATTGTATCCTAAATGAAAAGCTTTATGGTTTTTTACCAAAAATACTGCTGTTATTTGAGGTAAAATGTTATATTTCACTCAGATAAGTTGAGATCCGGGTCATGTTATATTGAAAACCATCTTTATAGAAGTGAGAGGTCATCTTAGGTTTTTTAAAACTCTTTTCTCTTCTTTTTAAATGTTCATCTAAGTTGACCTCCTGATTTGATTTCTGAAATTCGTTTCTGTATATGGACAGGATTTGACTGTAGCTTTTGCATTTCCACATTGTGCAATTCACAATCACATTTTAAATGTGCAGTCATTATGAAAACCACAAACTTCTGCTTTGCCGAGCGCATCTTCAGTATCCAATTACGCAAGTAGGCATTCTATAAGACTTATGAGAGGTTAAGGAATGGTTATTGTCATGGCTGTGATTAGCTGTTCCTGCTTTCAGATCTGCTTTAAAGGAGTAGCTCACTTCCAGAATGAAAATTCTGTCATCATTTACTCACCCTCCACTTGTTCCAAACCTGTATGAGTGTCTTTCTGCTGTTAAACACAAATGAAGATATTTTGAAAAATTTTGGTATCCAAACAGTTAATGAGCACCATTGACTTCCATAGTATTTTTTTTTCCCTACTATGGAAAATTTTCTAAATATCTTTGTTTGTGTTCAACAGAAGAAAGAAACTACAGGTTTGGAACAAGTGGAGGGTGAGTAAATAATGACAGAATTTTCATTCTGGAAGTGAGCTACTCCTTTAACAACATGTATATGTTCTTTCAGCTTTCAATATGAGCTTTTCACTGCCATCAACTGTCAATGGACTACTTTGAACAGGACTTGATTGCACGTAAAATTATTAGCGCCAGACTACAGAAAAATACCTAAGTGAATCATCAGCTGTGGTTTGAATAGCACTGAACATGTCTTCTCCTTTTGCATGACTTTAGCTGGTTTTAATTGGCCTTGAAATCTGAGAAAGATCTTTTAATCAGTGAAAATGAGACGCCATCTGAGGAGAAAAGCTCAGAAATCTTCACCATTTGTTTCAAAGCATCAGCTGTCTTCTGTTCTGCTGTCATGGTCTGGCGTACTAAAAGAGGGATACAATTAAGTTAAAATGGAGTCATATTCAACAATGAGGACTGATTCATTCAATTAAGATGAATTCATAATGTTTCTCAAATGCTAGTAATTGTTTCACTGTGGGTTTATGGAAGTAAAGACATTCCGTGAACAAGAACTGTGGCCTTACACAGGAAAAACAGAAGCTCGTTGGGAAAACCCGTCTTCTGCTTGAAAACACTGTGACACAGCAGAAGTCATTCTGAGAAAAACAGCTGTTTAAAGGAAAAGCAAAAATCATTCTCCAAGAAATAGTTACAAAAAATACATATGACCCCAACATCTAAAATTCTAACTCTAAACAATACAATTCAGATATGTTACTCAAGAATACAAGAGTTCGAAAACAAAACCTCACACTATGACTCCAAAAATAGACTCATGATGAACTTAATATGAGCAGCTGTAGCTGTGATCAAAAGCTCTGTAACTCGAGTGGAGGATGTTGTCTCCTCAGCTGAGCTGATGGAATTAGATGTGATTATAGAGTCTCAAAGGAAGCCATCATAGATGTACATTCAGCGACTGAGGTTTTGTCTCAGCCAACATAACAACGATTCAGCAAGAACCGTGTGTGTATGGATGTGGCAAACTTTATAAGGCTTTTTATAAGGTATAAGACAATTACACGGTCAAACGAGTGCCTTGGACTCTTTAACAAGCTCAACTCCAGCCATAATGCAAAGACCGTAAACATTAAAGTGTCCAAGGTCAAAGCCAAAATAGTCCATTCAAATTCCAGCGAGACAAGAGGCTGAATGTAATCTGAAACCAAGAACGCAAGCACAACTATACCCTCAAACCAGAAAAGAAGGCTTCATCTTGCAGGTGCATAAGAGACATATGCAAAGTATTTAACAGTTGAAATCACAAGAAACAGGTGTGTGAAACAGGTGAAAAGAGTGTCGCTTTGTTTAAAAAATGGTGGAGAAAGTTTGGTGAACAGACATTCTGGTTGTCGAAATAGCACAGATTTAGCACATATTATTTAGGTTTTGCACAGATAATTAATATGAACTTTTTTATGTACTGCTTCAATAAAAACAGGTGAGTTCAATAGATTAGTCATTTGCGAGCTGAAATGTAAGTACGATTTGCTTTAGAAACATCCAAAAATCATTCAAACAGTAATTTTAGGGGAACAATCATTCTTGTCAACTAATTCAAATAGTAAACAAAGTGCCTCATTTAACTTGATAACTTCTTTCCAACGTTTGTCAGTTCCAGGATTTTGTACATTCTAAAAAAATAAAGCTTCCAAAAGGGGGTTTCCGTAGCAGTGTCATAGAAGAACGATTTTTGGTTCCCCAAAGAACCTTTCAGTGAACTGTTCTTCATGTCAAAAGTTCTAAAGGATCTTCATGGAACCATAGATGCCATTAAAGAACCTTATTTTATAGGAGTGTAGATCAGTGCATAAATACATGGCCCAGCAGTTAAAAGTCCAGAATGACTGGTTGGTCAAGTGGGAATGTTTTTGTAGCTTTGAATGTGGGGGGTTACGGGTTGCATTCCAGGCTATTATAACTTTTTACATTATAATTAACCAAAATTGCTCTGTATGTGAGTGTATGTATGTCTTGAATTTGCATTTTGTTTTGTGAACAGATAGAATATATATATGCTGCTATTGCTGTCTGCAACGACCACTCAGCAAAACATTAAAACTAATTCCAGTGCTGGATGACCATTCACTGTAACAAACACTAGAAGAACTGAAGATGCTTCCTCTGTATTAGATGTATTAGATTTATCCCTGCCTTGAGCTATTTCATAGAGTGTTGGGGACAAAACCGGCCATTGCAACTAAATGACGCTTGTGCCTCCGGTGGTGTGTGGATGTCTGTATGACACCTGTGCAAAAAACAGAGTTGTTAATCTCCTTATGGCAGCAATCTTTAAGTAGTGGAATGTGGTGGATAGTTGTACTAACATGGTCTGGTCTGGTGTGTGTGTGTGTTTTAATAGCTTGTCTAAGTTTAAGTGATTAAGTGATCTAATTAAGTGATTATCCAATATGAGCACAATTAGCTAAGAGCCAGATGCTGTCCAGATCTGACCTGTATACTAAGACATGTCATCAAGTGATTTCCGTTTCTTTCCAGGCTAGTACAAACACTTTGATGTGGTTTGGCGAGAGTTTTTTTGTTGTTGGAAAAGACATGAAAGAAAGACATTAATCATATGAAATGCAATATCAGAGTATCTGTTGAGATCTGGCTTTATTGCATCTCCAGCCTTATAGTATAATGTTTTGTTTGAATTATTTATATTGACAAATACTTATATTTACATGCTTGCTTGCATTCACACAATGTTTGTGAGTCTGTGGAGTTGGCGTGTGCGTGAGTGATGTCGCCACCAGCGGATCAATCGACTCTGTGGCCTGAGAGAGCTTTTGTTCTGTATTCAAGTAATCACATGCTCACACAAACACACCAGTCTTTACTTAGTTAACTCCATCACATTATTGCTATAGGAAGAATTTCAGAGATGTTTTATGTTAATGCTTTCAGCACAAGTGAGTTTCCTGTGGTCCCCCCCCCCGATAATACAGAGGGATCAATTTGATTGCTGCCCTGTAATGATTTGTGTAAAATCTTTAATTGAAAAAGGTTCTGAATTTTTTGTCAAATGTAACTTACAGTAATTGTAACACTGTTGTGCTATATTGTTTCAGCACGGTTTATTGTGTATTTTACGGTATTGTATATTATTGCATTTTATGTTGCACTACATTGTCAATGTTGGGATCATTTCTCTACAACAAATTCCTCCAATGTGCAAACTGATTTGGCCAATAAACTTCAGCTTCACAAGCAAGTTTACAGTGTCGTGGCTTTACACGCCGCGAGGTGGCGCTCTAGAGCAGCGTCGAGAGCGATTGATCGTTTCCAGTGCAGTCAGTCCTGGCGCTGCTCAGATCGAGGTTGCTCGCGTTCTGAACGCCGAGCCGCATTCCAGTCGCGCCACGGAACGGGATATTTTGGCGAGTTTGGGAATTTAACTATGACTAGGACATGCCATCCAAGGATCATTCGAACGTGTAAGTGCCATACACGAATTACCTGAACTGTCTGCGTTAAAATGGTTAGAAATGTGAGTAGAAATCTTCATGGCAGTAGTTTTGAAAGCAGGATCTTGTAGCCCAGCTCTGCGTTGAGATGAGACTCGTGTAGTATGTAATTTAAGTGTGGAAACCAGCGTTTGGCTTTTACACTATCCGAATACCACGGATTATTCCGTACAAAACTTTAAGAACCCGGCGTTCAATTGTTGCCGGAGAGTGGATCACATTTTGCGACTTTGTAAACACTTGGATGTCTGGTTTGCTGGAACCTGGTAGTTGGAAATGTGTTTTCACACAGTCCTTTTACAAGAGCGTAACCTGTGATGAAAGGTTGGGAATTTATTACCGATTACATTTCCTCGAACGCTCGGCTGAATGGCAGCGTTAAAGTATCAAACGTATCGGTTTCGTTTACTTGATCCGGTTTGTATACTTTCCAAACACGTTGTAGAGTTCAACTAACTTGGGTCGTGGTAGACTGCGTTGTGTCAAAGCATTTAGAGTCCAGAGAAGAAGGACAGCAAGCGGCATGGTGAGGGGTTGTTCTGGCAGGGTTCGGTCAAAGTTACTGAGAACGATAAGAAACTGACATTCCATATGCGTTTTGGGCAATTCTCACGTAAATAAAGACCAGGGATGCGTTTCCCAAAAGCATTGTAAGCGTAAGTACATCGTAGACCCATTGAAACCAATGGAGCTACGATCAATTTAGGCTTACGATGCGTTTGGGAAACGCAGCCCTGGACGTTTCAGGAACGCGGTGTATGAACGCTCCGATTTGAAAATCGTCTCGGAACCATATGTTGTTAAAGGGGCTATTTTTAAACTACCCCTCCTGTTTCTCCATCCAGAGGCACCCTCATCTGAGAGGACCACATGTTGCTTTGGTAAAAATCGATTGGCTCTAATTGATTTAAAAATTATTAGTCACGGCGTGTTGTGTTAAAAGGGCGTTAACAGCAGAACTGGTTATGGAAGCTGTTGTTGCGGCGCATCTGAAGGTTCTGCCTGTCCGTGGGTGTGTATAAGCGCGTACATAGACTACTACTATTCATTTTCTTGGTCTTCATTGGATCTGCATTTATGTGATCCTGTACGGGGCATGAAAACCATATATAAACCATTTGCAAAGAAGTTGACAGACGTGACCTCATCATTTGCCGCTACATGATAATTGAGCTCGCGCAGGCTTTTTAATGAACATTGACTGGTGGGGTTTTGGTTACTGATGGATCTAAAGGGTTTAAGAAATGGACCCTAGTAAAACGATTGGTCTCGACATCTCAGACGACTATTCATGGTCCCTGTCTTTTCTATTGCTATCACGACGTGACGGTTAAGAGCGTGACGGACATTCAGATGGAAATTGGGAATGTGTTTCCTCAGGCGTGAGGGAATCGTTTGTTTAGACTCCAAACACAACCCTAACGGGAATAATCTCACGGTTTGCCTATGGAAGAATAAAAAAAAAAACGACTTCTTTAAGAAAGAGACCCTAGTAAAACGATTGGTCTCGACATCTCAGACGACTATTCATGGTCCCTGTCTTTTCTATTGCTATCACGACGTGACGGTTAAGAGCGTGACGGACATTCAGATGGAAATTTGTAATGTGTTTCCTCAGGCGTGAGGGAATCGTTTGTTTAGACTCCCAACACAACCCTAACGGGAATAATCTCACGGTTTGCCTATGGAAGAATAAAAAAAAAAACGACTAAAGGCCCCGTAGGTCAGCGAGTTAAAGCCATCTCCCTCTTTTGGACGTGTATTATATGAATATAATTCACATCTGTGTAACGTTAACCAAACCACTTAACGGTCATGTTGCGGTTGGGTTGAGTGACTTTATTACCTCTATTAGATTCCTGGATTCCTGAAATAATTTCGATTTGTCAAATGTTTAATAAGGACTTCTTAAACGTGTTATCAGGTTGAAACCCGTCTGTAAGCATTTCCTATCAAATTAGCTAGAGTTCGAGGTCTCTCAGACCCCACAGTCCTAGAATACGAACCTGATGTAGTGTCGAGCAAACTTTACCTCAGAATTAAGACCGGTGACCTTGCGAAGTGTGTTTTTACCGTGAAAAATCCGTTATTCGGATTCGCGCCGTTTGTGATACATGTGTGGAGTTTAGAATGCGAACTGGCCCGCGCGCTGCTGTAGAGCGGCAGATGTGCGCATGCGCGAAGTCTTCCCCTCCTCACTGGCGCGACTGGTTTTACTCAGACCCACAGCACAACTAATGACCAAGATTAGCTCCTTTACCAAAATAATTTATCACAGCAAGACAAAAATGATTGGAAATAAATTGCATGCGCGGGGGGAAATAATTACGGAGCGAAGGATACAGGCGCTGCAGTAAATTGGGCACAAAGGGAGAGAATTAGGCTATTGTTTTTGTTATAGATTATTATGAGTGGAGATGTGAAATGAATTTGGCCAAATTAAAGATTAATGAACGTGTGGGGGAGAGAGATAAGATCTTCTTGGCAAAATTGCTGCGATTAAGCATTAGAATTTACTGTACCATGGTATCAGATGGTAATAGATTTGATATATCATGGTATGGAATATGGTATAGGTTCTGGTCAAAAACCCATGGCGGTACCATAGTATTTTTGGTACTTGTTTGTTAGTGTCTAGTGTTCAACTACGAGAGTGTCGTCTTTGTGTATTTTGTGCTCCTTGTGTTGTCAGCATCCCAGGCTGCAGCAAGAGGACTCATAATTGTGGCATTCTGTGGCCCATAGCTCACCCTCTGTTTGACTTCTATTTATAATCTCTCTCTGCGTCCACTGCCATTCTGTCTCTGTCTCTCACTCTGTACTGGGTCAACGCTTGTGTGCCGCTTTGCCAGTCCATAACGCAAGGGTTTCAGGACCTATAACTTGACTGAAAGAAGTCTCTAGGGCTCCTTATGATCTATTGGTCTCTTGTGCTCTATTATAAGTTGTGTTAGTGAGTTGTGAAAATACTGTCTCTGTTCAGATGATGTGACTCCAGAGACGTATGAAGGCTCTCAAGCAAATCAAAGTAAATTTTAGTTGTAAAATGCATGGACACCATTATGAGCTCTGCACAGCTACAAACAGATTAACAACCAGCTAGTGAAGTCAACTGGTTCATATAGTTTTTTTTTTCTAATTTTAGTGTTGATGTTTTTCTAGCTGCGTTTAATTATCATGTTGTGATTTAGCTGTTAATGTTGTAAAACCAACCCAGAAAAGTGGAAATACAGGACTTTTTATTTGAAAATTAGCTTTTTACATGCATGTAACTCCTGTTTGTTTTAATTTTTTTCCTCATTTATATCCCTCTCTCTCTCTCTCTCTCTCTCTCTCTCTCTCTCACACACACACACACACACACACACACACATTTTCTTAAGGCCTAAGGCCAGTGGTGATATTAAAAAGCATTTAAAAGGTCTGGCTGTTACTCTGTTTGTTAAAGAGCAAACAGCGAGAAGTCTTCACACACAGACACTGTTAACTCTGTCCAACCTTCAGGCAGTCACTGCACAGTTTGACCTGCCTTGAAATCACACGTTCACTTGTGTCCATACTAGTGATAGACTGATAAATTGTACAATATTTGCCTATTTTGAGATCATCAACATTGGCTGATAACTTTACCCACTAGACTTGTTGATGGATAATGGCCAATTTTAGTTTTCAAATATTTGAGTCAATTTTTGAGTGAATTTCTGCATGAATGTTTACATCCCAATTGCAATAATGTGTATTTGTGACCTACATTACATACATATTTCCTTTTATTTAACTTTGGCCACCTCATACTCTAGTTATCAACCCATATTGGTTGGCTACTAGTCAACAAACCATACTAGACTGATATCATGCTTCAGAATGCAGACAAATGCTCCACAAACTTCAGTCAAGACTCTCAATAAGACAGCATTTTGTCATTTTGACCTTTGCGGTCTAGCATTTGGTCTGTTTTTGTAAATTACTCATACCTTTTGAATTCTGTTGATATGTGGCCTTTGCTTTGAAGTGCATTTGCTTTACTTTTTAAAGTGGTTTGAATCAAAAATGTCACAGTGCTGAAGTTTGGTAGTCATGACAAAATCCGATCCAGAACAAGAAAAGCAAGCATTTCAAAGTTTCTTTAGTTTGAAAATGTTATCACCTTTTATCACCAGTAAAACTCAGCAACGGAAACTAGCTTTCAGTGGGATGTGGTTTTTCTTTGGATGGCATGTGAACACTTTGAGTTGGCAGCTATACATTATTAATATCCAGCCTATTCCAGTTTTATTTTCATCCGCTACACTTTTAACTTCTTCAAAGGGCCTCCATTCTCTCTCTCTCTCTCTCTCTCTCTCTCTTCCCTGTGTGATATCTGTTATTTTGGATGAGTTGTTTCTCAGGAATGGCCGACAATTGCTGTGGTTACACAATGCAAGCAAACCGTTTTCCTGATTATACTTGAATGCATATAGATGTGAACACATCCGATGCTTAATACAGAAGCTTGTTGCCCTTTGCACATTTAAAGACTCCCAGTTTTGTGTTTGTAATGTTGTCGACTTAATGTTGCACAGTTTACACAGCTAATTGTAGAGTAGGTGCGTCTTGGCTGAGATCATCCTCCTGTAATTCAGTTCTTGCACAATCTCATGCTATTCGAGAGTTGATTCTTAACTATTTCGGCAGACAACGTGGAGGAAAGATATGCAGTTGGTTTGTACAAAACAAGTAAAGAAATTACAGTTTAGAAAGTGGTTGGCGAGATGTGGGAAGCAGCTCGCTGCCACTTTGGCTTGTTAATTTGTTTGTTTGTATTTTAGCTCCTGCTTCCCACTGCTTCACCCTCCTCTCGGGATCTTTTTCGCAATTTCATTATCTGATTGCTGTTATTTTGCTTGTTGTTGATAGTGTGCACATCTGTAGCATCTGCGATCCCTGGCACATGTAATGAGCTGGCTGCAATTTGGAGTTTTTGTTGCAAA